ACATGTACTTTACTATGCTCGCGAGGAATTTGTCCACTAAGATCATTGCTAAATTTAGACTATTTTTTGATCATCCTGACTAAATTTAGACTAATACTCGACCATCATATCTCGTAAAACCCTTTTTTTAAAAAATTCTATTGCATTTTTGAACAAATCACGAAATCGCTATTTTTGAAATTTGTTCACGTGGCGCAGCAATAGGAGGTCTTTAGACCGAGCCAACCATAGAAAGGCTAGAAATATTATTATTATTATTTACTCACATGTAGTCAACACATCAACTGGCCAAAAATTCCAGTTATCTATTTGATCCCATCTACCTGCAGGCCAAAATAAACAGCTTCCACAGATTTCCAAAATGAAACAAAATAGTTGTCATTTACATCAGACTCATTAAACTCTTTTTGAATGGTAATATTCTGTAAAGGGTCATTACTATTATCAAGAAGCATTGAGACATTACTGTAAATTTTGAAAGTATCAAAATTTGGACCTGAACCAAGTTCAGTTACATCCCTTAAACGGTTAATCAGCTGTTGATAGCCGATAAAATTTTTCTGATATAAAAAATTTTTTCTGAGGGCACCACTTTCTAATATGAAAATGATCTTTGGGATTCAGCCGATTAATCTATAAATAAAAATCCAGTTGTTGTCCTTGTGGTTTTTGTAAAATCCTCTTTAAAAGTTGGTCGATTGACTGGTTTTACTTTGCTGATCATTAAATTGACCAACAAGAATGATCAAATTTTTAATTTGTGTTACCCTTAAAGAATACTCTGACTGTTTAAGAGATAAGTATGAGTGATTATAATTATTCTACACTTCCTCTAACCAATAATTTTCATCAACAACATTTCAATAAAAACATTTTAGATAATACTATAAATTATCATAATACAAATCGATATTCACCATCACCACCACAAAATACTCAAATGTTTCCAAACTATCAAAATATTGTTGCTGCTACCAACATCACTAATACTACCGCAAACGTCGATGCCACACTTGCCATTGTATTTTGGATTCCTATGTACTTTAAAACATAAAAGAATTGAGTTAGTATCAAAGACAGAAGAAAGTCAAATCAGCTTTATTTTTATTTTTATTTGATTAGTATTAATTATTTGCATAACCCTTGTTTTCATGAAGTTTAGTTATTTTGACACTAAATTAAAAAGAGCATTTATTTGATGATATGCATTTGTTTTACTTGTCCACTTATCTTACATAAATCAAATTTGCATTTCAACATTTAATATTCCACTACCTCCTAAAGACATTTCTGTTTTCTCCCCATCTGGAAAATTCATAACCACCTTATTAAAGTCTTGGTTAAATTCTATATATATGTAGTTCTTTCCAGAAAAAGATGAAGAATGTTGTTTATCCTGGGTTATATTGATAACCACATATTCTTTGGCAATATCAACATCCATAATTAGGGACTGTCTCAAGACGGATTGGTATTCCAGTTGGATTAAACAATACAGTATCACATAAATATGTTTCATCTTTGTCCATGTTTTTAAGGCCAAGAGCAGCCCTGGTTCCCTAAAATCATGGTTTGGACAAAAGAAAAAAATTAATTATTACAATCAGAATTTCAAAAAATACAATAATAATAAATTATTTCTTACCATTAAATTTAAATATTTAAATATTTCAGAAAATGTTAATCTTTTTTATTTTTTTTTAATGAGTATCCGTTATCTAAAATGATAATTAAACAAAAGGCATGACTGATTGTCACTTGGAAATTTATACAATACATTTGTAGTCCATACTGTAATTTGTACACCCTTTTAAGTGTAAGTCACATGGTAAAATATCATTTGCCCAGATCAACCTTGTATTACTAATAAATCCCAAGACTGATAAAAAATAAATTTTTTTCTTTACAATTAATTAATTAATAAAAATATGAGAGTTTATGTTTCCCCACTTTTCTTATAAATTTTAAAAGTATATCCATTCATTACATATAAACAATGCCACGAATTTCAAGCAAAATAGTTATTGGGGAATGAGTTAGTTGCAAAGCAACAGCATTACCGAAGAATATTATTTCACAACACATACAACAAAGCAATGAAAATTTAAAAAACCTACGTCTTTATGGTTTGGTTGTAGGAGAATTAACCAGAACACGTCGAATATTTCAAATAAAGTTTGAAGAAATTGGTGATGGAAATTTGAACGTGGATATTCTTGCAGGAAATTTGCATCATGAAAAACAAGTATCTCCAAATCGTGAAATTGAGATTGCAGAACCTTTGATAGTTCAAGAGAATCTTTTTGATTATAGTGAGAGTAGCTCTGAAGAGGATAATGCTAGTGATGTTAGCAACATAGATCTTACTGCAACAGTGACATGGCAAGAGCAACCAGTAACTATTGATCAACATGCAACTCATTTAGCATATAATTTGGCATGTAAAATTAATATTTTATCAATTAGTTTGGCTTCACCATATACTATATTTCGCCGATATCTTCCTATAAAGTATATTGAAGAAAATATTATTCAATCTATTAATTTATGTGGAAAACTCAAATTGGGTAAATATAGATATTAATGAGTACATGACCTGGTTAGGACTTTGGGTATTAATGTCTGTTGTTCCTGTAAGTGATCACTGTTATTATTGGAGGACTCAAGAGGGTACACAACCTTTATTACCATTTAATTTTCAACGTTGGATGAGTATTTTACGTTTTGAACAAATAGTGTCAAATCATACATTAATGATGCCAAACGAATTAGAAATATCTGATGATAATGATCTATTATTTTCAGTACGTAGTTTTATTAATGCTTTTAATGCAAATTTAATTGAGGCTGTAATTCCTGGAAGTGTATTATGTATCGATGAGTCAATGAACTCATGGTTAGGTATCAAAAATAAAATTCCAGGTTGTCGTAAAATACCACGAAAACCACATCCTGTAGGACAAGAATGGAAGATTCTTGCTGATGGTTTGACAAATATTGTTATTCATTTAGAACCTTGTGAAGATAAAGAAATCGAAAAACATAAATGTTTTGCTTCAGATTATGGTAGTACTACTGGGTATGTATTACGATTAACACAACCGTGGTTTGATAGTGGCTGTACAATAGTTGGTGATAGTTGGTTTGGTTCACCAAAACTTTGCATTTTATTAATGCAAAATGGATTATAGAGTATTTTTCATGTAAAAAAAAGACGTGGATGGCCAGTTGATTATCCTCGTGATATGGTTCAAAAACTTGATAGTACTTATGGATCATATATATCAAAAATTACAACAATTGATAATATACAATTAATAGCAGTTTCTTTACGAGATTGAAAACCACAATGTGTAATTGCAACAGCATCAACAACAGCAAAAGCTGATGAAGTTGAACATGTAATTAAAAATAACACTAGCTCAACAATTGTTACATTCACAAGACCAAAAGTTTTTTATGAATATTCACAAGCAAAAGGGGCCGTAGATATTAATAATCAGGTATGTTGGTTTATTTTTTTTTTTTTTTTTTTTTAACGATGTAGTTGTATTATTATGTTTATTAAATTTATATTATCAATTACATTTATAAAATAACAGATAAAAAAAACATAAACAAATAATTACCCCCCATATCTGATTTATATCAGATTGGTTGGGCCGACTATTCACCGCCCTTTCTTTCCATGTGGCTGTTAATCCATAATGGAATTTAACATTTAATATAAAGTAACCACACTTCCAAACAGAAAAGGGTTAGCAAAATGTCACTATTACATCAATTGTATGTAGGTATGTTGGTTTATACTAGTAAGACCCATTACTTCGCATGTTACATCATGTGATCTATACAGCTTGAAAGATTTTAAATAATAGACTTTTTTATTTATAATAATATTTATTATATACTCATATATTTATAATACTATTAGATACAAGATCATATGACATCATTTCATGATATTATGTGAGGATCAAGTTGGCAAATGCGCATATTTTCTTTTTTATTGGGAGTTGCAGAAGCTAATGCTTTTCTTACATATAAAAAATGGAATAAAGAAGGACATAATATTTCACATTTTGATTTTCGAAGACAATTAACACATGAAATGCTTAATAGAAACTATAATATAACTTCGGGCCCACAAGTAAAAACACGATCTAAGACATCAGAACTACTACATAGTTTAGATACTTTTCCAAAAAGAAAAATTCATGGTAAAACGATTTATCCACAATTGCATTGCAGATATTGTAGTACAAGAACAAGATACTATTGTACATGTAAAATTTCAAAAGCGGTGTGTATTAAATGCTTTAGCAAACATCTTTTAGATTTGTAAATAAAGAATAAGTTTTAAACAATCTGTAAATAAATTTCTTTTAGTTATTATCATATACTTTTATAAAATATCTATAAAAATTTATTATACTAAATTTAGTACAAAACTTTATACATAAATATTACTAGATCTTTTGCATAAATAAAATATTAGATTTAATATATAATTTAGTAAAATATAAAAAAAATTTATACTAAATTTAGTAAAAATCGCTAACAGATACTCATTAATAATTTTTTTTGAAATTAAAACATGCTTAGCCATGATATAACTTACCATTATATTAATACGCTTTTGGCTTTTTTCTTCTTTAATCTCTCAGATTGTACAAGTCTTCAGTTTCTTCATTTTCTGTTATCAAAGATTAACATATTTCTCGCTTTCATCTTTCCTTATTTCCTCTACATATATAATACTCCTGCTTTAATTTTTTTTTTAAATATTAAAAAATTTTCGAAAATTAGAAGAATTGATTTATTATGTAAGAAAAGTATTTAATCGAGTTGGTAATTTAAGCCAATAATTATGGCCATTCTCCTAAACCTTTCTTTATTGTAAAGCTGTTCAAACAAAAATCATCGTTGATAACACTATTTTAGATCAATCATATCCAAATTGTATGTTAAACCAATTTCTTAATAAACATTTTATATTAATGATTTAAATAAAAAACAAAATAAAATAATAATGAAAATAATGAAAGTAATAAAATTATGACAATTATAAGTAAAATAATAATGATTGTATCTTTTCGATCTAAATTTTGATTAAATTCTTTTGCCACTTTTGCCCACAATTCCTTTTCTATTTCTTGCATTTCCTTTTTTAATTCCATTTTTTCACTTGAATGTTTGAGTATTATTTTTTCCTTAAGAAATACAACAAAGTGACATAAATCATGATATATATCAACTTGGTTTGTTAAGATTATGTTGGATGGTGCTAACTCAGCTTCTAAAAACATATTATTACTTATGGTATGATCATTATGAACTACTAAAATGCCAATCAAAGTAAAGTCAGGATATCTACCCATGACACCTTTTAGTTCACGGACATCTCGAGGGAAGCATAAGCAGTGCTATAAATTAAAAAATATATTAAAAATATATTTAAATAATATATATATCAATAACACACTGACCTTGCATTGAATAAGCAAAAGATACTTTTCTTCCTCATAAACAAAACCTCCTAACAGGTCTATTCCATTATCACCCGTATGTCTAAAAACAATAAAATATAAAATATAAAATAATAAGTTATGTTTCATAATTATCAAGAAGCAAAATAAACGTTCACAACAGGTCGTCCACCGTATATTGGGTCTGGGTACCCAACTGGTAACTTTCACAAGTTGTGGCCACGATGCGCTTTTATTTTTTTTCATACATCCTATTCACTACAGGCCCCGGCGCTGCAGCCAGCATGGCTTTTCGGATGATAGAAGAACGTTCACAACAGGTTGTCCACCGTATATTGGGTCTGGGTACCCAACTGGTAACTTTCACAAGTTGTGGCCACGAAGCGCTTTCATTTCTATTCATTTAAATCCTAGTAGCAGCGTAACTTCAGATATATAATAACTCGACATACTTAGTGAGTAAAAAAATACTCACATGGTTTTTGCAAGACCTATGTTATGATTCTGCAACGCATTCTTAATATGCTGCTCAAAATTCCTGCCTTTGAGAACGGCCATATTTAATTTCAAAATTAAATAATACATTCCTTTATATTTTGAAATATATATATAGGAATAAATAAAAAGGGACACACAACACGAGATAAAAAAAATCTTTTTTCAGTTTCAAGTTAAACCAACATGCGAGTTCATTTTTAACTGATAAGCATGATGTAAATGAGTTTCATATTAACTATTTTTGTCTAGACAAATTACATTGTATTACACTTATTGATCCCTGAAATTTTTGGTTCAACATAATAATAATAAGTCGAACACCAATTGATTGCTACGCCCGACTTATCGATAAACTTTTTGTCTTTAGAGAAATAGAAATCCATTTTTAATCATAGATACCTTCTTAACTATATTAATTTATTTGTTTTCCGGCCAATTAGAAATCGGAGAAAGCCACTCCTTTGTTGACAAAATATTTAAAAATAAAAATTTCTTGGGCCATATAAAATTATACTGTATACAACTTTAAATACATAAATATCCTTCTGTGCGATGTAAATTAAATTAATCGAATCAATCGGTGATTTTTAAAAAAAACTATATTGTTTTTATTTTTTTGTTGCCATTATAATATTTCCTAAATATATTAGGTAATGTGGTAAATAATATAAATATAATATAAACAATAAAACCTTTATAAACACTAGATAAACCTTAAAAATTTTTTGGTTTTTTTTTTTTAATCACAAACACCTAATACTAAAATAACCTCGATGCATCATTTCAATAGTAATAGTCGTAAACCATCAATAAATCGTAAAAGTTTACACCCCTTAGAAATTCCCCATAATGATAATAAATCAAGAAGATCGACGGTAGAAATTCATTATGATAAGAAAGAAATTGAAAATTATAATAATAAGGGTTATGGTGATGGTGATGATGGTGGTGATGATTTGGCACTCGAGTATTTCAAATTTGTTGATGGTAGAAAATTTATTAATATCAAGCAATCTTGTGAATTCCTGCCTGTTGATCACAAGGTAAATTATAAATTAATAATTAACTATTAATTTCTCAAGACTCTCTAAAACTTTCTATTATTTTATAGTCAATGTCTAAAATGGAAACTTTAGAAATTACATCACAATATTTATGGAATGGTAATTTTTCTTCTCCTATAAGCGAAACATTACAGAATGGTGGCGCATCTGTAATAGATATTGGGTAAATTGATTAATATTAATATTTGATTGATTTAATATTTATCAAAAAAGCCTTCCATCTATCACCTACATAAATTAATTAATTATAATTGTTTTCTCAGATGTGGACCTGCGACTTGGTTAATGTTTATGGCAGAGGAATTTCCAAAATCATCATTTGTTGGAATTGATATAGTAATTGATGTGAAAGATTCTAAAAAAGAATTGCCAGAAAATCTGGCTATAATTGAACATAATATATTTGATGGTTTACCATTTCCAAATGACACTTTTGATTTTGTTCATCAAAAAAACATGATAACTTCACTAACAATCGATCAATGGTCTTTTGTGATCGATGAACTGATACGTATAACTAAACCTGGTGGTTGGATTGAATTTATGGTAATTAATAATGAATATAATAATGAAAGTGGATGGTTTATGATGTAATAAAGAAAATCTACTTATATTATTAACATATCATTATTATTACTATTATTATTAGGAAGATGAATCCATGCCATATTCCATGGGTCCAATGACAACAAAACTTACATCAGAATGTAAATAACCGTTTAATAGACTGTTTAAAAATATTTATTAATCCGCTTAATAAGTTCTAACAAACTATCAATTAAACTATAGTCATGAAATTATTCGAATCACGTGGCATAGATAAATCAACTCCTGAATCTATTGAAAAAAAATTAATAGCTACTGATAAAATAGTTGAAATTAGACGTCAATCAAGAAATTTTCCCTTGGGTGGTTGCGGTATGGTCAGTGAAGTGGTAAAACATATTATTAATTAATCTTTATATTTGATGTTTGAATTTTATTCTGCCAATCAGAATTTTGTATTCCAAAATTTATTAATTATAATTTAATTTATTAGTTGAGACAAGCTATACTTGAGTCGATGGAAACCATTAGACCTTATTTCCCATCAATTACGGGAGTGAGTTTAGAAGAGTATGATGAAATGGTTAGACAAAGTATTTTAGAAGATGATGAATATAAAACTTATATAAAAAATTATAGGTGATCATTCATTCTCTCTCTTCTTAGTATCTCTTTATTCTATTTACTAATACCAATTAATATATCTATTATAATTATTTAGAATATACGGAAAGAAAAAAGATGATTGAATCATTTATATGAAAAAATAAATTATATATAGACTATAAGAATCATTTTTTGTAAAATTTATAATATATATTTTATTTATTGCAGATTTAAAATTTAAAATTAGGCTTAGATTAATTAATTAATGTTTAATAGCTAATTTGTATAAACAAAAATAAATTGTCGCTAGCAGCAGTCCAATTCTATGAAGTATTAATTCGCCAATCTGCACTTCCTAATGTAAATCTTTCATGATAAGTCAATTCAATTTGTAGAGAAAAAAATGTTAGATGCATAATGATCGAAGATGCTTATTTTCATCTTCTGAAATCATAATCCGTGCTTGTTTTTATAAATTCGAACTTTTTTGAACCTGCAACCCAAGAAATTTTATGAAAAAGGTTTATGAACACCGCTCTTTTAATCAAGTTGTTTCTTACTTACTGTAGTTATCAGTAACTTCTAGGTTCCATATTCTTCGACAACTCACAATTAAATTTAGTGAAGTTTTATTACTTGAGTTATAAAAACTTGAAACATATAAATTTAATTGTTATTATTATTATTATATATAATAATAAACCCCAGTCAACACGGCTCAACTAGCGAAACTGGCAATTTATGAACCATGCCATTTCCACCCCTAGCAAAATGATACCACAAACAGCATAGTGGAATTTCGTAATTATCACGAACGTGACTTAAAATGTTGATCTTTTTATATTGTGTGGTAATTTTAAAGTACTTTTCAATTGGACATTTGACCATAATGTGACATAAAAACTTTTTATCAAAATTGTCAAACCAACTTTATAGCTGTATTCTTCATATTTTTTATATTGCCAACTTTCTTCCATCATTTTCCATTATTTTCCATCACTTTCCTGAAGGAGTTAGCTAAGAACCAAAGTTTATAAGAAAGTAATAGTTAAAGAATATATAATACTGGTATACATTAATTTTGGAGACTCTTAACCCATTATAATGAGTATTTGTTTTTTATCATATTATTCAAAAATGTCAGCAAGGTATTTATTTCATTAATATTGATAAATACCTTTTAATTTATGATAATAAAATAATAACTAATTTGATAGTTTCATGACAATTCTTTCTGATCATACTAAAAGTAATTAATGATTAATTACAGGAATATATCAACTAAAACTTTATGATGTTGAATTTTCTATCTATTT